TCCCTTCCCTGTGGTGCTTCAACCAGACACTTTGTTGACATTGTACTATGGCACTTAGCAGCACACATGTTGTAATGCTGTTATTTTTCACCAGCCAGCTGTTCCACTTTATACAACACTTAAGTAACAATTTCACAGCCATTACCAGCCTGCAGTAATGACATGGGCTGAAAGCTAAGCATTAACTGGTTGTAAACTGCAAAAATTTGGAGATGTTAAAACAGACACTTTGATAAATGAGAAAGGACATTGCCAGCATTTTAATTGGTTGAGTTGAATCCTCTTTTGTCACTAGAGTAAACCTAGTGTTTAGGGAGTCATGAGGCAGAATTGGGAATGGCTATCTTTATGCACTTTGTAAATGTATTTCCTTGATTTCAGGTGTGACATATTGATTCTGGGAGTCTCATCTGTGTTTTTTTTCTTTCTCTCTTCTCTTCATTTGTACCCTGTCAGCATGGATACGTTTTCAGGGACTGAGAAATCCCAAGGGCTTTGTTTGCCATGATTTATTTGGTGCAAGGGGTGTGTCTCACACAATGTGTGTCTCAGTAACCAATGTGCTGCACAGAGAAATCCCAAGGGCTTTGTTTGCCATGATTGATTTGGTGCAAGGGGTGTGTCTCAGTAACCAATGTGCTGCACTGTGAACAGTGATCCAGAGGTAAAGAATAGCTTGTAGAAACACCTATGGAATTTTTAATTGGACAGGCTTCTTGTTTGGAAGAAAAAAATCAAACAACAAAAAACCCCCACCAAACCCAGAAGCAATCATGACTGAAATGTTTAATAAGTTTTTTTTTTTCCACTTTTCCAAATTACAATCTGGCCCAAAGTGAAGTGATGGGCACAAACTACTCAGACAACTTTTGGTGGTCCAGCTATGGTGTTTCAAGCAAACATAGAATCTTTTATACTAAGACTGTTAAATGTGAGCAAATATAAAAAAGCACCTTCCTGTGTATTGCAGTGGGGAAACCTTAGCAAGCTGAACTGTGAACCAAGAGGCTGTCTCATGAGCACTCTCAAGAGCAGCTGAAGGGTCAAAGACCCAGCTTGCCCTGTGACAGCCAGGCAATTCAATAAAGCAAATTTGCAAGCAAGTAATTGAGCTCTGACAGCAGTTAGAGTGTTTTCATCTCAGGTGTCTTCAGTTTTATCTGTTGACAAATAACATACCTTCAGTTATTATTAACCCTGTTTCATCCAGGTCATTCTCTGGTAATTGCAAAGTGCTACTGCCATTGTAAATTGGGTGAATAAAATTCTGCAGTTCTCCAACACTGGCAAGCACAACATTGAGGTATACTAGAGGAAAAAACTTTCCTTGGGATCATGGAAATGAAGCTTTTGTGCTAATTAAAGAAGTATGTTTAACTGATTCTTCAAAAAAAGCTCCTGACATCTAATTCTGTGGAAAACAACAATCTCGTGGGGTTTTTTTGTTTGTTGGTTGGTTGGTTTTTTTTTGGTAAAATTAGGGCTTTGGGGCTTATGATAGAAGACTATACTAGAGCTTATCAAAAACTCGTAAGAAATCCTGAGCCATAGACTGTAATTATCCCAAGGAGTGTACACAAGAATCTGCATTTGTTTTGAAAAACAGAAATCAGTGCAGGATGGTGCTTTGTCATTGAGTAAAGTGTGTGTCAAGGACAAGGCAAACTCTTACTGTTTTTTTGTCCATTTTTCTGGTTTACCTCATCACTGCCATTTAAAAGAATCCAGAGAGGATATAAGAGGATGGTGTCTGTTACGTGTCCGTACACCTATTTTAGTCTGGTTTTTAATGCATTTTAAAATCAAAGTGAGAAATTTCCCCAGTTTTCAGGGAGTGGCTGTTTACTTAGCAGTACTGAGACCCTGCACAGCTTTCTCAATTGCCGTAAAGCCTCTGCATATGTGCTAGCAGAGCAAGGTAGAATATGCTGCTCTCTAAGGCTGTGTTGTTCTTGATTCCCTACTGGTTTTGTTAATAAAACCTAAAAAAACATAGCAGTTGTATAGTCTATGTAATCTGTTGTGTGTTTTTAAGTACCAATTTGTAACAAAGTACTTGCTTGTAACCTCCAGTCATGGGAAAATGGTTGCTTTCATGTAACAGTACCATCTGTTTGGGTTTCCAGGACATGTATGCTAGCTCCCTCCCTGAAATATTGTCCAGGAGAATTCAAGGGCTTAATATCTTCGTTCAGGACTTCCAAATGTCTCACAGCAGGACCACTGTTCCTGCACGTGTCCCAAGGAAGGCTCCATGATATGTAGGAATCTTAACTATACTCATTGGCATGAGCACATTGGGGGGTCAGCTGGATGGCCCAGATCCCACACCAGCACAACTACTCACTAAGCAACTACTGGAGAGACAGTGACCGCATTAGAGAGCTAGAAGGGTACGAGTTTCTTAATCACAGCAAGTTTAACTTGGGAAGATTTGAGCCACCTGTGTTTCCCTGTAAAGTGGGAGCAATTTTTCTGTCATTTGTCTTATTTGACATCGAGCAGCTTTTCCTTTCTTGAGGTGGAACAGAAAGGCAGAAGCAGAAGCTGATCTCTAGGAATAGCTAAAGACATGACAAAAAGTGTAGCATCCAGATTGTCTACCTTTATTTCTGTCTTCCTATCTTTTTCTAAGATCTATCTTTTTCAGTGCAGTCTCATTTCCAATCTTCTTTGAGCATTGACCTCTTGTCCTTGAGGGAGGTTTGTGGTCTAGGAGCAGTAACTGCACCTGCTTAAAATATATTTTGTGAAACTAGCATGGAAGAACTTGAGCACAAATTTGCAGGCTGCATGTATTAATTCTTCCAGGTGTGCTAAGGAAATTGCAGTCACTGCTTTTGAGTTTAGTGATAGAAGAAATGACATATAACCCTTTGTCCAAATATAGTTGAAGAAATTCTTTGGCTTTTTATTCTGAAAACATGTGTGGATTTTGTCCTTCAAAGATTTCACAAGTAATTTCATGCAGAGGCAGAGATGATAGTGCTTGTTTTACTGATATTAGCATCTCTGCATGGCAGCAGCTGTTTATACAGAAAATCTCATACCTTTTTGTTCTTTTGCCCAGAATTGAGAACTTGCCATATACTGAATGGATTTTATGTATGAGATTTAAGCAAATATAATTAAACTTTCATTTCCTGACAGCTCAACTCCCATGAGGCTGTTTGACCACCATGGACTTTTTGTTATTGTAAACACATTCAGAAACCTAAAGTTTACAACACCAGAAGCTACTAATTCAGTAAACTGGCCAACACTATATAGCTGTAGACTAATTCATTAGTGCCTTAAGATATGTAATTAGATATTTAGATTGAGAAAGGGAGAGGATGAATTAGGGATTACAACAGCTGCTAAGAGGAAATTAAATAGATTTTTTTCTGTTTGTTTGGATATATGTTGTGCCTTTTCTCCACTGAGTTATTCAAAACCAGAAATATTTTGCTAACACATGAGAGCCAGAACGTACTTCTGAGTAGGAGCCAGCCCAGTTGTCATCACTGTAACATTTTCTCATGCAGCTTTTCCTGTCATCTAACCTCATACCTGGAATGAGACTCCCCCCAAAAAACCCTTACTTTTGGAAAAATTAAAATATTTATAATATTTTTATAATCTTAGTCGATCAGACTGCTAAACCCAACAGTATTGTAAGAAAACGGAGAAATATGGACACAGAAAGATGATTAAAATTAGAGCAAATATATTCATCTTTGAATAATATGAGGTGGTGTGGCGAGAAGACAAGGTAGATTTCGCTTCTGGTATGAGATATAACAGTGGTTTTTCAGCTTCCCACTCTAGATATAAGCCTCAGTAACAAGCAGACTTATTTTGAGGACAAAAAATGATACTTAAATCTCCAATACAATAATTTCTGTTTGAAAGAGAGCCTTAACACAGTGGTACCCAGAGTGTGGGTTATCATAGAACATGAGTGTGAGGAGGGTGCTCCAGAATATATCTACTCTGCAATTTATCTATGCCTAAAGCTGTAATTACCATTAGCTCAATAAGATTTCTGTCTTGATACGACTTTTTTGAATTATGGAATTCTTAATTAATTCTCTCATCTCTTTTCCTTGTGATACTTTTGAACTCTAATGAGCAGCAGCATTTTCTGTGGGACAGTAATGAGAAAAGAATGAAGAAATAAGTAACAGATTAAGCTGACATTTTGTATCTAATCATTGAAATATTCTCTTGTTTCTCCTAGGGCGAAGGTGAAGAAAGGTGTGAACATTTTCAGTGTAAGAGCCAGCAGTCCATACTTATGGGACATCAGAGAGAGCATGGATTATACTGGGAAATATGCACCAGCTGTTATTGTTTGCCAGAGGAAATCTGCCTCTGAAAACAGGTAGGTCATTTCCAGCATTCTACCTTTTAATAACTGATGGTTGTTTTTCCTTTTCCAAGAATTTTGCCATGTTTTTAATAAGTTTTGTTTTAGTGCCTGATTAATATGCTTTTGGAAAAGCTGTGTCTGTCTTTATTTTGTAGTGCAATGTTAATTCTACCACATGCACTTTAAACAAATAGTTATTCAATCTTAAAAATCAAAGAAAGTTGAGATTTGCAGGAAATACTATTTTTACAGCGCATTTTGAAGAACACTTCCCGTATCTTAGAATTTGGTTGTGACTAGTTTACTCTCTTCAAATTATTTGCTGCCAGGCATGCTAACAGGGGGTGATTATAGGGCTGGTTTTAGTGGAGTTTGTTTGTTTTTTAATTATTTTTTTTGTTTTTGTTTTGGTGGTTTTGGGGGGAGTTTGTTTGTTTTTTAATTATTTTTTTTGGTTTTGTTTTTGTTTTGGTGGTTTTGGGTTTTTTTTAGGGGGGGCATTGTGGATTCTGTGTACTTTCACATTCTGAATGTAAACATTGTTTTATGGTTATTAAAATAAATGTGAGCTTAGATGCATGTTAGATTTTACTTGAAAGAAAATCATGTGTAGACAAAGTGTATGTGTAACTCTTATAACTTCTGGTTTGCTTTATTCTACCTGAGTTCCCAGTTGAGATTGTGTGGTTTTCTCACTTTTGAGAATGTCTTCTTCTTCGTAAACAGATGTAGGATATTTGCAATGTATTTCTCAATGTGCTGTTTTCTTTGTTAAATTTAGTCATATCTATTAATTTCCAGAAGTAAGATCAAGCATTGTATGGGAAGAGTGTGCTCAACTTTTTTTTAAAAACAATTCTTTCCTTAACTATATGTGTCTGGTGTCACTAAATATGCGCTATGGATAACAGCTAAATATTGATGTCTGCTTCCAGATTGTTTGTCTGCATTGTTCATTTAGTAATTCAACAAACTCTGTTTGCATATTGTTTAATTACTTTTAAAAATCAGAGATCTGATCACATGAATGCAAAGGTGGCAATGTTAATTAACTAGATTGAATACTTTTGTGTTTCTGATAGCTTTACATGGATCAGAAAATACTGTTAATAAAGCTAACTTACTGTGACAGGTGTAATTTCATGGATTAAGGAGGCACTTGTGCAAGTGACAAACTTAACCAGGATGGTTGAGCATTTCTTTCTTGAATTCTGAAATACATCAGTCATTTTATTTGGAGAGTTTTTGGCACCAAAAGCTTATAGTAACAGGATTAACATAAAAATATTATCATAGCCAGCAGGGTGTTTTAGAATGAATATTAACAGCAAATATTATGAGTCTGTATGAGAATAACTAATTAAGCCCATCTGTCAAATATGATGTGAAGTTCTCAGTGCCTTGCTTATTATGGGCTTGCAAGAGTGTTCCATATTAATGGTGAAGCAATTACAAAGTTCTCCCCAATTCTTATGATCTTGATCTCGAGCAATAGTAACTTTGTAATACTCTAAATCCTGACCCATGAGATTATTAGATGAAGTTACTACTTGTAGAATCTGTACAGAACTCTGTTCTCTGTCAAGCATTTATCTGCCATCCCTCTGTTGTAATGTAGACAACCAAAAAAAACCCAAACAAAAAAAAACAAATAGAAAATGTTACGATGGGAATTAACTGCTGGCTGAGAAATATCCCTTGGAAAACACTTTAAAAGCCATTTAATCTGGGAGATACTTCCTCATATGTGCCATCTTTTAATTCTTTCCTTTGGAAGGTAGCTGATCTTTCCTTTTCTTAATTCCTCAGGTAATGGTGAATAAAATAGAAAGATGAAATTAAAGGAGTATTGTATTTAAGGGATGTTTTCTTGGGTTAATGCTGTTTCTCATTGTACCCAAAACTGAACATCTCTGCTGTGCTAGTGATGACTGATAAGAACCACCAAAAGTGGAAGGTCTGGATTTGTGTCTGTTCTTCTATATTTCTTTTTGGACTGGATGGATGTTAGGTGGGATGGGTTTGGAAAATTATTGCGGTGGCTAAAAATGCAGTTTTATTGCATTTTCCTCATCTGCAAAACATGATAGATAGCACTTTGCTGTATCCTTAGCTGCTGTGGAGATATTAAGCAACATGTTTTGATAAGGTACTAATGGGTGCCATGATAATCTTAAAATATTTTATTAACTTTAGATTTTTGATACAAATATTTGTTATTCCATTGGAGAATACATTATTTCCTTGCTGTGCCTTATGGTAGGGACCAGGCCATTGTTCCAAGCAAGTGCAAAATATTTAGAGAAAGTTTGGCCATCTCTGAGCAGAACCTTAATGTCTGGTTGTGAGCATTTGCTGCCTTGTCTCCAAATGTATAGGAACTGCATAATGGATGAACTTTGTTCAGCAATTTCCTTTTCCTGTGCTTATTCTTGGAAATTTTGCAAAGATAGCATTTCTTTTGATACTTTCCCACTTAGGTTACAGTTCTGTAGCACTGGAGGAGATGCTGGTCCTGCTTTTTTAGTAGAGAAACTGATTTTCCTTTAGAATGAGTGACTGAATCAGTCTGTGATAATATTGAGACAGTAAAAGTATTTTTTGGGCTGTATCCCTCACATATTCTTGTGTCTCTCTCTTTTTTTTTTCCATTATACTGTATTTATGCTTAATTTTCTTAAGACTTTTGTAATACAAGAAATTAATCAGATACTAGATAATAATGGGACAGGAAAATATATGGCAGCAGTGCCTTGATTTTCTTACACAGTACTTTCTTTTTATTACATTTATACCATTATCCTTAGTGCCTTATATTTTTCATTTTCAAATCCAGTTATTTAGCATTTAGTTTTCGTATCATAACAGCCATGAGCTACTGCCTCATTCTTTTACTTGTTGCATCTGCCAGTATGTTTGATAGACTCTCAAGAGTGCTGTAATACTAAAATCCTTATAGGCAACAAAATAAATGAGTTTAACATAAATAACAGTGTAATAGCCACAATAATTATGTGTCTTCCTAGTGTTCCTCAACATGCTTCATAAAAATAGTTTTGTTTTACATTACCAGTAGTCTAAAGGTGTATTATTGCTTGGAAAGATTTTTTTCCATGCAATAGAATACATGATGAAGTAAATATTAATTCTAGTGTATATTGTCCTAACACATCATGTGTGAATCACATGAATTTTGGTTTGTCATCATAAAACAAAAGCAAGAAAAAGACTTTAGAAATCAAATATGCTTTCAGATGGCATATATGCAAGTATGGTATAAAATAACTGGACAAGCAGAGTGTCAAGGGTTGGGCTAGGCTGTATGTTTGGGAATTTTTATGGTAACCCAAGAGATGGCTCGATTATTTTTTTCTTCAAAAGATAAATTGATGTGTGAGTTCAGAGCAAAAAAAGTTTATTATTGGGTGGGAGAAGAGCAAACAGAGAAGGGAGATACCTTCAACTCTCAAAATAATAATTCAGCCCTTAAAAGCTGGCTATTCACTCAGCATCATTGAGCTGAATATAATATCTTAACATATGTCTTATAGGTAGATATCATGTATTAATTTGATTCTGAAATGCCAGAGTTTAATGTTATTGGTACTTCCTAGGCATATGGGAAATGATCAACTCTAAATGTATTTATCCTGGGTAGCTTTAGAGTTTCATATGGTGTATCATTTGGGTTTTTTCTTTTATCTTCCTGTGTTATTTGAAAGCCCTAGGCTTCTAAGAGTGATGATGTGAAAGTAACTAAACATCTCAGAAGTCATGTTTATATTCCATTGTTTGAAAACAATTAATTTCAATCTTCTATTTCTCATTTCCCATTTGAAAACTTAAATATACACCCTGAGAGATGTTGAGACCTTTTGAGATGTTGAGGCAAAATAAATTTGTATTCATCAAACCTCAGTGCATCACTCTTTTACATGCTGACCCACTTTTTTTCAGTTCTTGAAAAGAAAACTATTTTATTTATCAAGAATTGCAGAATCTTTCTTGAAACCATCCTACTCAATGCTAATATAATAGAAAAAAAGGCTTATGGTTATCACTTTGAAGCAAATTGAAAGAAAAAAGATGAAATATTAACCACCAACTGTTAGAAAAAGGCTTATTAGCCAACTTTGTCACCTGTTTGAAACATTCATTAAAAAGAAAAATTGGACTGCAGGAAAGCACTCTAAAGGCTTATAGATAATCTTGTGGCACCTTAGAGGTGGACTTTGTTCCTATATCTCTAATATTTACATGATAAATAAAATATGATTCCCTCATTCAGGTTTTATCCTTTTGAAATACTAATGTGCAGTTATATAGCAGTTACCATCTCCTAATGTCCTGCAGTTGGTGATATTCAGAGCTACATCATTGCTTGGTGTATATCATCTTAAGACAAGCAATAAAGGTGAAATACTCCTAAAATGTGACTTGATATGACAGTTCACAAGAAGATGGAAAAAATGAGGAAAATAAAGGAAATGATCAGTAAAGCCTGTACCATTTATACTACTATGGTACCTCTCCATCACCTGGAGGATTTTGTTGCCGTTCACTGGCTGTCAACCATCCCCAATACAGATGCTTCATTCAACTCTGCTGCCTGCTCTAGGCTGTCCACATCTGTGTATTCAGAAACCTTGGGAAAAAATTCAGTATCCTTTACAACATCACAGCAGAAGACAACCTGAGAAGGTGTTTCTTAATTTGAGTTGGACCAGTTCCATGTTTCACATTTGCTAACATCAGGTTAACCTCGCCCCACTCATTTCAGTTGTTACCCCTGGGTAGAGCTTTGAACAGAAGTGATTTTGACTGCAGGAAGAATGTTTTGTAAGGAGGGATGAATTTAATTTCCTGTTCTAGCTCATCTGAAGGGGGGGAGGATATCCGCTCTGTATTTTTGGATTAAATTTTATTATTCTTTTATTTATATACAAAAAACAGTGATTGAAAGCAAGGGTCCCAAAAGTACTTAATATATGAAGTTGCCTTGTGATACCAAA